CACTTATTAAGACTCACCCTGTATAGTAACACTTTTTTTATAATGTGATTTAATATGGGTTTCTAAAAGTTTTTAGTGTTGAATTTATTTTTAATTTACTTGTGACTTTTATGACAGCGACATTTATTCTATTTTTGTTTAAACCTACACATATATGTAGGTATCTGTCTGTTTTGTCTTCAAAGATAAATCTACTTTTAATAATTTATTTTTAGTTAGACACAGAAATTGAAGATCGTAACACTATCTTATCTGGCTCATATCCAAGTGTGTTACTTTTCTATTTTCTTTTGATACAACATAACTAGAAAGAACATTTCTTTATGAAACAAAATTTTATGAATAATGGTAGCTCCAAACAGGAAAATAAAAAAAAGTAAATAACAAATATGAAATTATTATTTGTAAACTTTCAAACAGTGAAATAAAATAAAAAGATATATACGATTATTTGCACATGCCCAGTGTGCCGAAGTATAGTAAAAATTTACTTCAACGATTGTTTATGGAAATTTTACTATTGACAGTATTTTCTGTTTTCTCGCCGGATCATTATTTATTTGTAATATGTACTATTTTTCAAGATCACCTAAAAATAACAGCCAAGAAACTTATAATCACTATTTCTTTGGCGCATTTCAGTCGATTTTAAAAATTTCGAGCAGCGCTTCAACGGCAGAAATCAGAAATTATCAGTATGTATTTCACATCGCCGTCCGTCATGTTGATCGCGATGATATTTAAGTATTTTAATATTTTGTTATTGCAGTTAGGGGACAATAAAATACTCAGATAGAAGGCTTGTGTGATGTAACGCTGTTTCGAGTAGTAAAAAATAAGTGAAAAAGAATTCGAAAAAAGCATCGTGTTGTGTTGAGACAATTTCAAATGTTAATAAAATTGCCGAAAAAATGTTAACGCGTAAAGGAGAGCGTAATTAGGGCGTTGTTGGGTGAAATAACATTCAATAACTCAACTTTCCCGGATATTCAACTCTCCCGAAACAACATTCTCATTCTCAACATAGCTTTATAGTTTCTCACACCGATTTAATCAAAAGCAAAAATGGATTCAAGCAGTGCGACGAAACAAGTGAGTAAACGAAGTGCTCGTTACATGATCAAAAAATTAAATAGACATACTATGAGAGGAAAAAATATAATTTGTAAGAAGTGTCTAGCCCCAGCGGGCAACTATTAAACTTGACCAATCAGCACAGATTAATAAATCAGGTTGGTGATAATTCATTTGTGTTTGTCAAAAACTCTAACGTGATTGGTCGGGCTTAATAGTTGCCTGCTGGGGCCAGACACAAGTTAATTTGCAATATTTGTTATGGTATACTTTTTTAAAACGGCGTCAGCGATGGCTATGAAATGACAATCGATGACATTATTTCCCATATAAATTTACATACAAAATGACAGCGATCTTCATTCCATAGCCATCACTGACGCCGTTTTTATTCGTTCATATGGTACTATGAGAGGATAAAATATAATTTGCAATATTAATGGTATAATTTTTTTAATCAACTAGTGATTAAATGTTTTATGAACACCTTCTAAAATTATAATGATGTATCTTTAAAAAAATTCGTTATAGCCGAAATAGCCCCAATTATGACCCACTAGCAAAACCAGTGATAAAAACTATGCTCGCTACTGTAGTTGAACTCATCTAAACAGTTTTTTGAACTGGAATAATAAATTATAATACGAGTTAGACCTTCTGAAGATATCAAAATATTTACTTTTTTATTTTTATTTTTAGAGTTTTCGCAAATTATACTTCTTTACACTTTTTTAGAATAATTAAATAATAAATTTTTCGTATACTCGCTATTTAAACTCATGTATTTGTATATATATACTAGTTGTTTACGATATTCTCCGATGGTGGCAGCACCGGCGGAGAATAGGAGAATGCACCAAGCCTGTATCTCTGACAAAAAAAATAATTTTATTATATTTTATAAAGCTCGATAAGGGCCCTCTATCGTTTCCAAAACAAAAATTGTTAGGCAACCCATTTTACTAGGCATTGTTTTATTAATTGCCCGGGGATCGATGCCCGCTCCGCAAACAAAAGACCAAAGACATTTATTTTGTCTTGACGCGGAATGTTTCAAAACTTGCGGTTTTTCACGGCAACTGTTCCAATTTATTTAACATAATAACAGCGACGATGTAAAGGGAAGGCTGAATCATGACACGGACGGCAAACAAAATTTTCTCTATTGTCCTCCCCGCTCACGGTCTTGTTTCAATTAAGGCTGAAGCGCCAGCATTTTTCTTTTGAACCATTTGAACCGAGGAACATCTGCCTGGAACAACGGACAGATTTAGGATTTACGTTGTTCAAAGGTTCTCTACCTGGTTTTCAGATTTAGGTGTATATTGTACATATACAGCGGAGAAAGTACTACTACTGTATAAATTTTGCGCGATAGTCGACGGCTAGGTACGGTCGCAACCAAGGCCACACAAATACTTGCATATTTTTACGCGAAAAATTAAAAGAATCAGTGCGTTTGATATAGCGGCGCGTGAACCAACTCGAAATGGAACAGAAATTAAGTTTGATTTGATAATGGTGAGTAGAAAACGTATTTATAACATAAAAGTTTTATTTAGTTTAGTTTTAAAAATAGGGAAACAGTTGTCAAGGCTTAATTGGAACGATTGAGCCTTGACAACTGTTTAAGAATTCGCATTAATAATTTTATTTATATTTTTATATCTCTGTAAAAATATACCATTTAATCTATAATAGAAATTAAAGGTTTTTAATGCGTACTATCAAAAATGTCATGCACTGTCAAATGTTATTACAGTTATTGGTATTTGGTATAAATTATATTTAGTCAAATGGGACATCCTGTATATTAGTTTTTTTTGATTTCGAAATATTTGTCCTTTCTTTTTAATATTTTTTATCGAAATATGATATACCGGGTGCGTCTCAAAAGTGGCTCACCTCTATAACTTTTTTATTTTTTCAGATAAAAAAAGAGATTTGGTATGTTAGTATAGGACATGACTTAGGATTGATTGACGTATTCAATTGCTTTTGGTCACTTCCTGTTTCACCGGAAATGACTACAACTTTTGATTTTTAAATGGCACGATATTTTTACTTTATTCGATGGAAAATATCATTCTGAATAAAATGACATATTATCATATGCCAACTTTTGACATTTTGGCTTAAAAAAATATTGTGTTTTAAATTTCAATCCAGAGCGCCTTGGAAAAATAGATTTCATCGTCTAATGATTTTCGTGTCTTGTCCTGGACGGTTAATAGATCCCAAACCGTATTTTTAATCATATAACTAAGTTTTTCAAATGGAATAGGGGTGACTCTTTAGCATATCTGAAAAAAGCCAATCAATCCAAATTTATGTCACATACTAACATAGCAAATCTCGTTTTTTTTATAAGAAAAATTAAAAAAGTTATAGGGGTGAACCACTTTTGAGATGTACCGGGTATATCAATGTTACACACTAGACAATGTTTACACATTTTTATCAAATTTACCTAAAAAAATACCAAACCACAGTTTGCATTTTTTAAGTCTGAAACTTTGATAAAGATGTTTAAATGAATGGGCCATGTGTGATGATATTTTCTAAATCAA